ACTTATTCAACCATTCAATAGTTGTTCAAAGTGGCCACCGTTTTCCCTAACACACAGATTCAACCGTCTCTGAAAATTATTCACAGTACTAAGAAGAATATTTTCAGGGATGATATCGCAAGCTTCTCGTATACGGTTGATCATATCTTCCCTTGTAGATGGCTGACGTTCATACACAACATTTTTCAAATATGCCCATAGGTAAAAGGCGGGCGATGTCAAGTCCTGCGAGCGAGCTGGCCAAGCCACTGGACCACCTCTACCAATCCACCTTCTTGGATATTGCCTATTTAAAAAGATCCTGACAACTCTCGAAAAATGGGGTGGCGCCCCATCCAATTGAATCCACACTCTAGAAAACGCTGTCAATTTACCGTACCGTCGAAAAAGTATGGCCCAATCAAATATCCATTAATAATCCCGCACCATACATTTCAGCTCCAACGATGTTGATGATCAACTGATCTGTGCCAATGAGGATTAACGTCTGACCAATAATGACAGTTGTGTCGATTTAACTCACCAGTATTTTTGAAAGTCGCTTCGTCAGAAAACATGACATGACATCGAAAAAAAGCGGGATCTAACTCGACAGTTTGCAAGGCCCAACGACAAAATTGTAAACGTGTTTCGTAATCAGCTGGCATTGAGTTCTGAGTCAGAGTTACGTGGTAAGCATGATATGTGATTTTTGTATCCCCAACACTGTACTTTTGGAAATTCCATGCTCTGTCTGAATACGTCGACTGCTTATGTGCGGATCAAGATGGACGAGAGCAAGAACCGTCAACACAAGTGCATCATTTTCGTCATATGCATGACGACGGCGTTGACGACACACGTGACCGTTGCGTGCTCTTTCAGTAAGATCACGAATGGTGATGTAGGTTGGATGACGTCTGTTAGGAAATCGTCTCGCGTAAAGTGCTGCAGCATGAGCATAAGCTCCTTGACATTCTCGAAAGATGTCGAACAGCACTTTATCAAAACTCCTTCATCCATAGAACGGCTAGGCTCTGGAATTCATTGCCTGAGGAAGTATTCCCAACAACATATAATCTCCAAAAAAAAAAAAAAAAAAAATACCAATGCCTACCTCCTGTCCCTATCCTCCCTAGGAGCGCACGATGTTCTTTGAGCATTGTGGGGGTTTCCTTTCGTGCGCTCCAAGCGATAAAAAAAACGATCTCATTTGCACGATAATCTGCCATTCTTAATCACGAACAGCAACAAACTGAAAATCAATTATTGTGCAGAGAAAAAACGAGTTTCAGCGTCGTAAAATGGACAAACAATTCCTATCAATACACCGTAAAACATAAACAGTGAAGCTTGTGACTCGATGCGAAAGTCTGCAATAACTTTTAGGCTCAGGTCAAACCTATGTTTTAAATATGATAACATAAGGGCAGTTCCAGCATATTACCATGTTCTTAAGCAAACCCTTAATATGGTTAACGAATTACATGCCAATGAAGATTCTTTGTTTTCTCCAACTCAAATACCAAAACTAGAAATTTGGGGCCCTTTGAGGGGCCCAAATAAATATTTGCTAGACACATTTTTTATTTGTTTTTCTCCGTAGAACAAGAATCCGTTGTGAAAAAATAGGGTTCTCATTGAAAAAAAAAACATGTCATCTCCTAGGGCCGTATGGGGGCCCTGGGGAGGGTGGTTGTGAGTAGGGTCATCCTTTGGCCCCCATTGAATCCTTCAACTTTTGTTGGAACCATTTTTCTGTTAGCGGCTTCCGGAAAGAACTATTATCCATAATAGATTAAAATGGTCCACCCTGTGTATCAAACAAACTAAAAATTATCATTGGAGGTAAATTCCTTGGAATTCTCATTTCAAAATACTCAGGACAAATACACATTTCATGGAATTTACATAAATCAAGAAAAATATCATCCCAGAAAGGCCTATCGAATGGTATCAGTTCTATATACCTATATGTGTCCATATCACGAAGTGGCACCATTTCTTCTCAGTTACTCCCATTACCATCTGAATTTTATAATAATATGGATGGGACCCTTTTAGGCACATGTAACCTTTTTCATCAATTGCACAACAAAATGCATTTCTTTGTTGAGTTGCTAGTTTATTCAATTCAGATGGATGGTAATCTTTCAGAACATAAGGGCACTTCATCTCCAATATTCCATGTGCATTTGATTCATGATCAAGTATAATACCATCAGGAGAAGCGCCTAGTCCGATATACTTTGGATTTATCCACAATCCTGTTTTAATAACAGATCTACTAGTTTTGTCTGTATATTCTCTACGGGCATCATCTTCATGTTTCAGGCCATGATTTACAAATTTGATATTCAAAACTGTATCAGTATACATCAAATTTTTCAACAGCTCAAAATATTTTGCAGGATTTGAATTAACAAAATCTTTACATCTTGAGGCAGTTATGAAAATGTTCCTCAAGTGATGCCACTTTTCGATTTTAGTTTGTTCTGAGGTGCCAGTGATGACATTTGGTTCTGTGAACTGAAAACAAAGATTTGTCCTGAACTGAGAAATATTGTCTTCCACAATAATTTTCCTTTCTAGTGTTATTTTACAGTCCTCATAAATGAAATTCAGTAAAAGTTCCCATGAACTCATACCATGGCTAGTTGCATCAAATGTTCGATTATACTGTGAAGTGGATAAGAAAGAATTATTAAGTTGAACTGGATCTTCTGCTTTATAGCTATCTGCATAAGGATGGAATATATACTTTTGGTTATCTCCAATATTCCATGTGCATTTGATTCATGATCAAGTATAATACCATCAGGAGAAGCGCCTAGTCCAATATATTTTGGATTCATCCACAATCCTTTTTTAATAACAGAACTACTAGTTTTGTATGTATATTCTCTACGGGCATCATCTTCATGTGTCAGGCCATGATTTATAAATTTGTTATTCAAAACTGTATTGGTATACATCAAATTTTTCAACAGCTCAAAATATTTTGCAGGATTTGAAACAACAAAATCTTCACATCTTGAGGCAGTTATGGAAATGATCCTCAAGTGATTCCACTTTTCGCTTTTATTTTGTTCGGAGGTGCCAGTGGTGACATTTGGCTCTGTGAACTGAAAAAAAAAGGATTTGTCCTGAACTGAGAAATACCTATTGTCTCTCAGAATAATTTTCCTTTCCAGTGTTAATTCATAGTCCTCATAAATGAAATTCAGTAAAGTTCTCATGAACTCATACAATGGCTATTTGCATCAAATGTTCGATTATACTGTGAAGTGGATTAAAAAGAATTATTAAGTTGAACCTCATCTCTTTCAGGGGCAGCAATATGCCAATGAAAAATGATCAATGTGGGCAGTGAGAAAAAAAATTCTCAATTTTTTTTAAAGAATTTATGCATTACAAACTTAGTTTGAACATTCATGACAAAATTGGGTAAAAAAATATGGTTTAGTTTGAAAAAAGTTCAGTGAACCACCGCCCAGATCAGCGAGAATGATAAATCTGGAAACAGTCCTTATCTTTTCCCATACAGAGCGGTACTGAAAATGTTGAACACATCCAATTTGTTCGTATTTGTTTTTCACTTGTGCTGCACAACGCACATCTTCTTCTGCTGCTATATGTTGGCTGGTGTTTTGCCTCAGAAAGCCTTGTATCAGCAGCCACGAATGGTTTATGTTTTTCAATTTGAATTGCAGGTGAAAGATTTCCTGATCGTCTTCTCTTCGATTACTGATAGTCTGAAATCTTTCATTGTTAAATTTTCATGGTCAAGGTTTTCATATATAATAAAAGCGTTGACGATACACGCATCTAAGAAAAAGAAAACGATTCCGTGCCTCCACTTGTGGCTTTTCCGGTCGATTTCATATGTAGATTCATTTGGGTCAAATTTGTCGATTCCATCCATATATTTATTGTAAAAAATGAGGAGTTGTGGACATGGCACATCTTCTACAGTTCCGTCTTTGTTTTTCCTCTTCACAGATGCAACATCTTCATGGTTGTGATAATTAGACAGTAAACAAACTGATCTCCTGTCTTTCCATTTTATGGCTAAAAGACCTCTATTGCTAGTGAAATGACCGAATTCTCCACGTTTCAGTTTGATATCTGGCATGGAATTAGGCAAGTTCTTTCTTGAACAATTGACCGTCCCACAAGCAAAAATTTGTTTTTCTCGTAAATGTTCCATCAGTGCAACGTTATTGAAATAATTGTCAAAGAATAAACAATGTCCCTTGTATTCTGAGCCCTGACACAATGTTTTGACAACCCTGCCCCCTAAGTCCTTTTGAACACCTTAATCGATTTACCAGTGTAGATTTCAAACTTTGAACAGTATCTGCTCTGATCTGCCAACATCCAGACTTTGTAACCACGTTTGAAAGGTTTTTTTGGCATATATTGTTTCATTGTAGATCTACCTTTGGATTTGATCATGGACTCGTCTATGGCTACATTTTTTGAAAGTGAAAAACATTCGCTGATGCGATCTTGAAGGTGGTTTTTCAAAGGTCTTACTCGGAAGAGCTTATCAAAATTAGGATTATTTCGTTGTGGTTGTAAAGTATTATCATTTACATGTCCTAAAATCCAGCGAAATCTCTTCACTGGCATGAGTGAAGATATGGACGGATCATTCAGTAACTTGTTAGTTGACCAGTAGTCGCGGTAGCTTGGCAATCTCTTTATGCCCATCATTAAATTTATTCCAAGAAACGTGTTGATTTCTCTCTCATTAGTTGATCTGTAAGGTTTTCCTGACTGCTGAGTCAGAAAATCAATGAAATCATCACTAAAAAATTAATTGAAAATTGCTCCTGGGGACTGATCAGTCTGGTTTTTGATGAACTCTGGAACTCCTGAAGCGCATGTGAAGATGGTACTATTTTCAAACGGTTAATTATCTTTAGTCCATGCTGGTTGATTTGATAGGGACACTCTTTGAGAGTTATCGAGCTTGTAGATCCTTCAGTGGGATGATATCTTCCTCAGTATTAGAATCAGTGTCGGTTATCATCGCTCATATTATCACCAACTAAAGATTCATCATCAGATGGAATACTTTCAACATCAATATTCCCATCATCATCGCCCAAATAGAGATTTTCAATAAGTTCAGCTTTTGTCATGTTCTGAAGGGTGAATGGCAAGTGATCAACTAATTCATCCATACTAATCTGAAACAAGAAAAAAAATATCTCTATTCGTGCGGTGGTACATATGGTAGACCAGTATTGAATCAAGTTACCATAACAAACAACGAAATATACTGAAAAAATTCGTTATCGGAATCATTTATTAATACAAGTAGAATAACAACTTACTTAAATATTGATGAACTATCACTATTTTCAATGAATAAAACCAATCTCAATTAGCGAGAATGTCAACAATCGTTCCACAAACACTAAAGCTCATCTAATACATGATTCAATCCAATTTCGCTAGTGCGCGACCTCTCGTAGTGAGTAGACATACCAATAAGAGCGTGTTTGGATGATGGTTCACATTTCCGTTCATAGAACTTCACGCATGATGAAATAAACAACTGGTAGATTTTATGAACCACCACCCACCAATGGTGCTTTTATCAGTGGTTCATATTTTGTACCAGTGCGCCTGCATAAGGATGGGATATGAACTTTTGGCTATGACTCGTTTTTCCTTTATAATCGCGTGTATACGATGTGGTTGGATTCTTCCTAGAACTCCTCTTATTCCATTGACAAATTTGACTGGTGCATGATGGAGGATCATATCCAAATTCCATAATATAATCTTCTAGGGCAAATAGAAGACCTGCAACATGTACGCACATTCAGTTTTGTGACTTTGTTGAATTCTCTTTCATGCGACCCAAAAGATACAAATTACAATTTGAAAAAACGGTGTGAAAGCAGCTACGCGACATCATGAATTTGTTTCATTATTTAGCTGATCACTGCATATTTTTCATTCCTGTACTACTCACCAGAGTACCTATATAATCTGCAGATTGGCCTAAAATGCTATTGACTTTCCCTCTAGTCCCCCATGGTCTCTTTACTTGATAACACAATGTATACTGGATTGATGTTCCTATTTGAACATTCACACTTTTATATCTTGTATCAACTGAGATACACTGCACTGGTTATTAGGTATCATAAGTTTTTACTCCTCCCACAGCTCTACCTTGTGGGGTTTATTATTATTAATGATCTATGTTTCCTGATATAAACATGTATATTTTGTTCCTTGGAAAACAATTTGATTATTATTATAAGCAATATTATGAAATCTTGGGGACTGGCTGACTATTACTATTTGCCAGAAGTAGATAACTAGAAATTGCAGAATAGAGTGAAATCTAAAATGACCATAATAAGGAAGAGGAAAAATGATGGATGAGAGGTTGTGATCAAGTTAATCATATAGTTCGATGGGGTGAATTAGCATATGCAATAATAAAGAAAATTTTCCCAGTAAAAATATTCAGTCAATGGCATTTTAGTCCAACCCGCAACTTACACACAATCTTCAAAAGCTAGACAAATGATATGATACAAATACTATTTCCTGTTCAGAGTAAAAATACTGTCTGTAGGTTAATCGAGGAGGTGGTACTTTCATTTTACTTGATTTTTTGGGATTTCCTTTCCTCGTTTCTATGAAATAAAAATATGCGTATTATTCCAGAGTACAAAGTTCATCAGTGAAAAGCCCCTTAAGTTCTTGATTTAATGAAACAGATAAATAAATTGCTCATCGGTCTACCAGATCTTTTTTTGTTCCCCAAATTTTTTGCATTTAAGCCATCTCCTCAATTCACATAAACTCTGTCCCTGGATTGGTTTATTTTGTAATGAAGCGCCATGTTCATCAAGAAGACATTATATAAGCTTATGACCAACACAAGTTTCAATATGAAAAAAGGTACCCCTAACGGTTTTGTATTTTTTTGCGTCAGTTTTTCATAATCCCACGTCAGTTTGTCAATCTCCTGCGGTTATTGCATTCAGAGAGAAACCAATCTCGAAGTTTCCGTTTTCAATAGGTTAGGTTAGCAAAAGACATGCAAAGAATTTTCGAGAATTAAAAATCATAATTATACTCATTCGTAATATCTGCAAGGTAGACACTGTCCGTAGATTTAATGAGATGAAGGTATGAAACTCACCTGTGAAATGTACGAACATTATTTCTCCACTCGGCGCTACGAACAAAACATTTCATAACCATTTCCACCGAGAAAACTTGCACACACTTCAGTAACGAACAAGTCACGTTTTTTCTTTTTTTTATGTTCTGGTTCCCACGAAAAGGGATACTTATCTCGTAATATTCAGAGAACATCGTGAGGACCAAGGGAAATAAGGTAGAAATTGGTGTTCTTCTTGAATTTCTGGAGGTTATATACCTCGGGGAACACTTCCCTTGGCAATGTGTTCCAGAGCCCTGCTGTAAGTTGGATGAACGAGTGTTTGGAAAGAGATGTTTTGCAGGTCTCCAAAGTGACCACAAAGGTGTGCGAAGCCTCAACTCGACGGTTTAATCTCGCGGGGACTGCCAAGGGAGGAACAATTGTTGATATTTCAGAAGAGCAGCGTCCATAAAAATATCTATAAAATAGAGCCAGATCGCCAACTTTTCTACGATGTTCCAGAGATGTGAGTGAGTTTGTGAGCGAGGCATCACCCACGAGACGAATTTTTTTGGACAGAATCCAACAGTTTCAGGGTAAGTTTGGGTGCTGCACTCCAAATATGGGAACATTATTTTGGGACAGGTTGGATCTGTGCCTTATAGATCATAAGCAGCTGATTGGAAGTGAAATAGCTCCCGGCCCGAAACAGGAAACGAAGTTTTTGGGATGCACTTCTAGCAATTGATCTCACGTGATTTTCCCAAGAAAGGTTATTATTGCTGATAGTAATCCTAAGCATCGAAATGGATGTTCTCAAAGGTATGGTTACTCCTGACAAGCTTATGTTGGGCACAGTGAGATCGGCTTTTCTAGAGAAAAGGCATGCTTCTGTTTTGTTTGCATTGAAATCCACCAAGTTCTTGGATCCCCATTCGAGAATTGTTGCCAAGTCCATATTTATGTTGTCAAAATTTCTCCCTCGTTCGTTTCTGATTTGCCTGGCTGGAATTGGAGCCCTGGAAGAGAAGGCGGTATGGTATCACAATACGATCTATACACACGAGGAATAGTAATTGAAATTTATGAAATATAGAAACTGGAAACGAAAATACGAAGATGCCGTTTCTCAAATCTCAATGACCATTGACGTTGACGAACGCCTTTGGTGGTTGGCAATGTTGACAAGTGACAATCAATAGAACGCTATAGCCAATGAGAATTCGCATTACCCCACCAAATTCTGGATCTGAAATCCAGCGCATGTGTGTTAAAATTTATCTAAATGAAAAGTCCTATTCCTATATGGTCATCATGAAGGAATCAACAGACATTTTGATATATATACCGGGTGTCCCATTTCAATCTTTATTTGGAAATTTCTCGAAATGTATGCATCTGACAAAAAAATTGCCGAATAAAAGTTGTATGGTTTGGAGGGAGACGTCTGGTCATAAAACAAGTTTCACTCCCTGACCCCCAGGGGAGTGGGAAATGGAGGTAACATTGAAATCTTCAATGGAAACCCCTATTTTTTATTGCAGACTCTGGAAGAGCATTAAAAACTATGAAGCTTTAATTCGGGAACTTCTTTTTTATTTTTACAAGATGGCGCTGCTATCGTATAGAACAATATTTTACTATTCACACCCCCATGAAGACGAGGAAGAGTGTAGGGTGTGATATTTTCCCAGACAAACGCCATTGGGGGTGATATCCACACGACAAATTAACGCTAAACGACTTACTTACCTTGGCACCTCTACATAGAAAAGAGAAAAATAAGCCTGGTTCAGCAATTAAGGTATCATTTACTTTATCAAGTGTTCGAAATGACCTCCATTTTCTTGGATACACAAGTTCACTCGTTTTTCAAAATTCCGCACTGTCGCTTCCAACATAGCAGGCGTTATAGCCATTCTCGCGTATGGTTGGAGGTTCGTGAATCACAATGTTCTTGATGTGACCCTACAAAAAGAAGTCTGGGGAAGTCAAGTCGGGTGATCTGTGTGGCCAGGGCACGGGTCCCTCACGACCAATCCACTTTTGCGGGTATCTCTCGTCAAGGAAATTTCGCACAATTCTAGCAAAATGTGGTGGCGCGCCATCTTGCTCAAAACCACATACGGCATGATCTGCGAATCCACAATGCCGCACCACACGTTCACACTCCAACAATGCTGGTGGTCGATCATCCGCATCCAATGCAGGTTTTTGTCGCTCCAATACTGGCAGTTGTGTCTTATTACGAAACATTGAGTAATTAATTTCAAATAATCAATTGTGTTCTATCGTAGCGGTTACAATTATTCCTTTCTGGATTTGTTTTACTTACCGATTTAATATGCCAACATTTTGGAAAGATGCTTCACCGAGAACATAACAAGATGAAAGAACCTCGGATCTCGTTGAAATTTGCGTCGAGCCCAGTTGGGAAAGTTCAGTCTTGCAAAGAAGTCTTCATTTGACAATGACTGATGCAAGGAGATGTGGTACGGGTGATATTTAGTCACTTTTAGTAGCCGTTGGACTGTGGATCGTGGAATGACAATTTCTCTTTCAATTTTTCGAAGGCTCACATGCGGATTAAGGTGCACTTACGCGAGCACCGTGAGCAGCCTCGCATCCGGATCGACGACGTCGTCAAAAACCGACTTTTTTCTTTTCCGGGTGAGCTGACCTTCGCGGGCACGTTGTACAAGAGACTTGATGGTAACTTGGGACTGACATCTCCGATCCGGAAATCGACGTCGATATTCGCGCTCATCCTCTTGGTAATTACTCTCCGCACGTTCGACACACATAATCATATTAACAATCTCGTTCGGTAAATAATTTGACATCGCGAGACAGTGACAGTGACAGATTTGAATTGTTTCTAAATGGTGTTGCCATACAATGAAAATTATCACTTACCGTGTGAATTTGCAATAAAAATATCACCTCAACGGCGTTTGTCTGGGAATTTCACACCCTACACTCTTCCTCGTCTTCAGGGTGTTGAAATGTGTTAATTCGAACTGCTTGATATTTTTTTAATGATAAAAAGTCACCCAACTACAAACTAAATAGTGAAATATTGTTTTCCAAGATCGAAGCGCCATCTTGTTGAAATAAAAAAGAAGTTACCGAAAAAAAACTTCATAGTTTTCAATGCTCTTCCAGAACTTCAATAAAAAATATGAATATCCATTAGAGATTTCAATGTTACCTCCATTTCCCACTCCTCTGGGGGTCAGTGGGGAAACTTGTTTTATAACCAGACGTCTCCCCCCAAACCATACAACTTTTATTCGGCAATTTTTTTTGTCAGATGCATACATTTCGAGAAATTTCCAAATAAAGATTGAAATGGGACACCCGGTATATATATATGTATATAACATCCAGCAAAAAAACATTGGAAAAATGGACCAAATAAGAATTCGAATTCTCACCAAATCCTTGAATCAATTATTGTTGGTTATTGAGGAAGCATGAAAGCCATCAAATATTATAGAATATTGATATTTTATGAGTGTTGAAAATGAATCAGAATTTTGGATTGTTTATTGAAAAATCGCATATATTTGAATGAGAATTTTCGTTTCTGAAGAACCATCAGATAAGTATCATGAAATATTGATATTTTGTGAATTTTCCGTGTGTTGAAAACGAATAAGAATTTTGGATTCTTCATTGAAAAATCGCAGATATTTGAATGAAAATGTTCGTTTGTGTTTCGAAACTGTCTGCTAATGGATATATGAAACTATAGGTCGAAACAACCGGAAAACAATGAACGATTCTCATTTATTATCCTGATAAATTGTTCACATATTGCACAAATTTCATGAAATGTTGTGCAGCTCTTGAGGAATATCCTTTGTCTATCACAACATTCAATGCATCTCTCTATATTTCCGTTACCACAAATCAAACAAGATCAAATGTCTTCATCATCAGCTGTTTCCAATAATATCGACTTGAGTTTTAGTCTATATTGATCCATTTGCTTTGGTTTCAAGAGTGATGCTTCCTTCAGAAACTGGTCAAAAAAGTAAATTATGTAAACCCCACAGTTAGATCTATCTTTCTGGCGAATATGGTGCAGGATTTTATTTCTATATGTTGAAAGAATATTATTTTTAGGAGTATTCATCTCATATGCATCGATGAATCTCTCGATAATAATTCCATATTTCTTTTTGTCAGAGATCGTGAGTCGAGGTATATGTATGCACCGTTTCTGAGATTTGCAATAGCAATCACCCAGTGGTCCCTACTTGCCACATTTCCAATTATCATTGACATCACAATAATTGAACTTGCTTCAATTTTTGGAATTGTATATGTGTAAAATTCGCTAGTTAGCTCTTCCAAATTATAACTAATTACATAACATTGCTCTGTTGTGAGTAATATAAGATTTTCGTTCGAATACTCGCGATGTTCTGTCAAGGCATATAAAAAATGGTTTACTATGAAGTCTGTCAGCCATTGTCGTGCACTGAGTGTGCGGAAATCTTCGAACCCCAATTCACATGAAAATGCAGTTGTGTATTTTGCAACAATAAAATCATCATATTGTCGACATTTCTGATAATATTCCAGATTTTGTACCAATCAATTTCCATAAAACGACAAAGTTTGTTGTTCTATCGTTTTCACACTTACTATTCGATCTTCTTGTACTGATTCAGGAACATTTCAGTTGCTCCAGTATTTCATCCTAGAATTCGACATCTCTGTGGATCCTATTCACGTACATCCCTGCCCATTTCCAGATCACAACACTCTCTCTCTGTTATGTTCAACCAATCTTGTATTTGATAGTAGTAATAATGTTTTTTATTGATTTCAAACTCTGTATTGAAGTTTTTTGATCTTCTGCTGGTTATTGCTTTTTGTGGATGTTTATATCTAATTGAAGAAGGACATTTCACTTCAATTATACCATTTCTGTCAACCAATCCGCCTGGTGAACAGGCAAGTATAGGATATTCTTTATCCATAAATATACCGCATGCTGTTTCCTTACTCTTCGTGATTTCCTCGTAATCTGAAATGGCTTCCTTTTCATATCTGATTCCATGCTGCATTGCCTTGTTGATGAAGGGTTTGTCGAAGAGTAAGCGTTTGACAATCTTCCCTTTCGATTTTTCACTTGTCGCTCGGCATATTTGGCCAAAATTGGAAGCGGTCAATCTCACCTTCCTTTCCTCATGCCATACCTTTCGGGTTTCTTTTTCAATGTTATCGAACAAACATTTGTGCAGCCAGATAATCATAGCATTTCTGTCCAAGTTCAATGTTCTCTGTAACTGGCGCAATTAAGTTATCAGGCCATCCTTCGTCGTCAGTTTCATCAACATCTGTTACATTTTGCATACGCAAAGATATAGCGTATTTTGTTGATTTCAATTATTTTCGTAAATGCACTTCATTGTAGTGGTTATTCTTAATTTTTCTCTTTTTTCCCCACATTTCCTCATCATCAAGATTGTCATAATAGTGATGCAGTTGATTTCTTTTTCTGGACGTGCATACTTTGTTTGGAATTCTCCTCATTAACTGAAATTATATGTTTTATAATGTTTCTAACTACCCTACTACAAATTTTCTAAAATGTGATGTTTAGTGGGATTGAACCAGTTTTGCACTTTAGGAATTACTGAATCTGGTTTAATTTTCGGGTTCCCTGAAGTACAACAATCCTGACCAAAATGGAAGATAGGCTATGTATAAGGCTCTTATTGAAGTATATGTTCATTTTATCTGTATGCGAGCTGGATTCTTCCTCTAAAATTTGATCTTGATGAATCTTGAACAATTTGTAGAATGGACTGCTCATGTAAATACATTCATTACCTTCCTGATGTATGGTATAAATGTAATCATGTTCAACCTCTTCAGATTCATAACCGTCTTCAGAACATAGTAATAATAATTCCACGAAAGGTGTCTTAACTTTTTCAGTTTCGTACTCTATACCTAACAAGATGACAAGATTCATGAACCATGACAAAATTGTCTTCAAATCTGTAAAATTGATAACAGAAATTAAAATCTCTTTCAGGCACTTTCCGTTTTCCTGACTACAGAATTCTTAACATCATTAGATATAATTTAAGCGAAATGTGCTCAGCATATAAATAATTTCCTTATGTGATGGGGAGAACTTTTGCCATCACGCACTGACTGGAATGACAATTCAAGATATTGCAGAACATACATATTATTGAAAAAAATCATATCTGCATTCATAAAAACAAAACGTGAATCTATGACTACTGCAGAAAATAGGAGCCACTTTTTATTGTTCTGTAAAGAAAAGTTTTTGAACTTTGCTACCCCTATTGACACAGCATCATCTTCACAGGTAATAAGATCGAAGATCTAGTATTGATACAATTGTCACAAAGGTGTATAGGATAACTGATACTCAGCTCTAACAAACATCAACACCTTCCTTTTATACTAATGAATATAACCCTGCCTAAGTAAGTATATTAGATCTCACGAGTATTCAACTCTTACTGTCTGCCTGATTCATTTTTCGTCCCAGAGCTGATAAATACATTTATATAAACCCAACATATGTTATTTTGTTCGAGAGTTATCAGGAGCGTAATACAATTCTATTAGAGTATATATCACATATTATGACACCTGTGTAATAGAAAATCTTTCTTCGATACAATACCCGGTCTTCGAACTAAACTATGCTTACGTACATAAGAGAACGTTATCCCAGATATTGCCACTGTCCTTTTAAAAGCCAAACCTGTCATGTTGCCAGAAATTTTTTTTTTTTCTAAAATTGTTTAAGTTCAAAAAGTACACTCTTAGCCATGGAAAATAAACAGGAAATCATCAAATTGTCCTTGTCATGAGTCACTTGAGAAAAATTAGGTGTCCTTTTGAAGGGACAGTGGCAAAATGGGCTGCTATCATCTAGCACAGTGGTTCTTAACCTTTTAGTGCTGAGGGACCATTTGACAATTTTTAAAATTGCCATGGACCACTGACTGTTTGGAGGTGAATACATTGAATGAAAATTAATGGATGCTTGTTCTATCTATGAATAGAACATGCATCTGTTCACAACCAACATAATTTGAATTTTCAGGTGAAAATTCAACATCACAGAGACAGAATATAATTATCTTGATGCGATTTTTGCGATACTCCTCAATACTTGTTTCAGTACTACTCAAAGCTAAACGCATGTCGGCAGTAGCATCCAACCGATTTAGGTACTTGTTTCAATGATTAGAAGTGCCTAATAAAACCCCTGCTCACACAAATTTGTCGAAAACAAAGGTAGGTATCGAATTGCAATAATTCTCAAATCTTTGCCAAAGAAATTTCTTTTTGGCTCTAAAAATCATCAAAATCAATTCCTGCTTCGAATGTATCTTCCAAGTTACTATCGGGTTGCATTTCAATCACTTCTTCAATTCTATCAGGCGCTCAACAATATTGACCATAAACGGATTGTGGTTCAATTTCCGATTACCTTTGTTCTCGCAGTCAGGAAAATAGCGATCGAATTCACTTTTCAAGTTTACCTCTTTTGATCTCAGCACACTCTCCTTCAATAATTTGATTCCGCTTATCAAACGTAGACAATTTTTTTTTCGACTGTCATGATCCATAGTTAGATTTTAGCGATGAATGCAGCGATTTCATCTTCATATGCAAATATACTGTTTGTGTCATGCAACTTGAGATTTCCTGACCCTTGCAGTTGTAGATTCGATTTATAGAGTTGTTTAATCCACCAATTAAGCGAGTCGTATTTCAAATTAGTAATCCGTCCTCTTGTCAATTATTCAATATTTTTCTGATGGCTTCGCGGACCCCTTTGGGTGCTTCCAGGGACCACCAGTGGTCCTCGGACCACCGGTTAAGAACCACTGATCTAGCACATATTTTTTTGATATCGAAAACAAACCAGCATAGATATATTAGTGAGTGAGTATATTTAACTCTATTACTCATGAAGTAAACATACAACTTTAAACAAAAATGAATAACTCTCATAATAGAAATCTTATCAAACTAGTTTTTTGTGTGGAATTGCTGAAAACAATCCTTGGGATTTGAAGCTACTGAACATTTTTACAAAAAAAAAATGCTCTCTTTATGACAAAAAATACAGCGAGTTTGCTTGTATTGATAAATAACCAGGTGATCTACTCCATCGTACTTGTTGAAGGAATGGACTCCTTTTGGAAGTTCAGAAGTTCTTCCTTCCGATTTCTTCTTGAAGGATTCTAGTAATCCTACGGCAATGGAACGTCTGAAACTGAGATGATCCAGTTTTCCAAATCCAAATTTATGAAGACGCCATGAGTTTTGTTCTGCCATATCAACAAAGTGACAGAAGAGAGGAAAATACCACTCTTTGCCTCGAATGGAACATCTTTATAAGCTAATATTTTGATCTGCTCGATCAGCTCCTCCCATATTTTCATTATATAGTTTTATTATGTGTGGCTGTGGAAACAGAATGATTTTCTTATCTTTCTCAGAGAATCGTTTGACCTGGATAGTTGGGAAAACCATTGCATGGTTTGAAGCGATATTCGCAATACTGTTGTCATGCCACTTACACACAATTTTCACACTATCTACTGTTGGAGCATAGTCAAAATTTCCTCGAGGCTGTTTCTTCATTTCATTCGAAGACATAATTTGGCAACTCTTTGGTAATCGATTTTCTCGTATAGTTCCAGTACCCTTCACGCCTCTAGATTTCAATTCAGAAAGCAGTGGCAAAGAAGTTAATAGATTGTCAAAAAAAAATGGTAATTCATATTAGTTTCAGAAGCCTTCAGCGTCAGCTCTAAGCTGTTCTCCAGGTAGGTTACTTATTTCCACGTTACTCTCATCTCCACTGTCTTCATCTGTCAAGTCATAATTATTTGGTGAAAAAATTATAATTTCACCTGGAATTAGGTCATCATTATTATCCAAGTTCTCAGGATCTTCCAAAAGTTCGTTGAGAGTTATAGGTCTCTTCCAGAAATAATTTGAAAGAAAGATAAAAAAAATGATGTAAGGTGTACTCGAAGATATTTGAAACAATATAGAAAAGATTATTCTCCATTTTGTTGAGTCATTAAGAGGAAATTACATGTTTGGGAATCATCTAATTTTAGCAGTGCATTTTGCCACTGTTCTTAAAAGAACACACATAAAAACACGATTCCAAATAAAAACTCATTACCTATATCAAGATGATAATGGCTATTTGAGAGATACCCATTATTCATCTATACAATTTTCTGAGTTGTTATTTTATAGTGGATTTATTTGAAGATATAACTTACCTGGAAGAATTCATGTCAATTTTGCATCAAAATATGAAATCATCTGTTTACAGAACACCAATCGCGGAGAATGAACGCTAGGCACCACACGTGCCGGCAATGAAGAATGGATTACTGGAAAAGTAGTGCAGTCTATCGGGGAGTAGCCCAAGTTGCCCTACAGGGGCCTATTTTAAGATGGCTTTTAAAAGGACAGTGGCAAAATATGATATTACTTTTTTTTCGAGTTTTGGCTTTATCTGGGAAACAAGAAACTAAAAAGAAACCCCAAATAAATGGATATTCATAAAAAAGAATTAAAATCTTATTCTAGTAAAGCGTTGGCCCCCCCTCTAGCCTGAATAACTGCTTGGCAACGAGATAGCACGCTCGAAATTAATTCGTTGATCAGCTCTATAGGAACTGCCTCCCAGATGTCTAGAATCATCCTTTCGAGATCGTCAAGAGGTTCTGGCTGACGTTTCCTTTGTGCAGATACACAAAATCTCAGGGCAAAATTTGGTTTTGGTGGGTTGACTGATTTTTCAACTAGTTTTATATATCTCAAATTCTCGCAACTACAAAAAACAATTTAATTCATCGCGATGTAGAAGATTATCTCGAGAATCGTGATTAGCAAATAGTACGTATATTAATAAAAATATCATAATTATGAGTATGCAGGTGAAGTCACATGGTTGTACATGAAAGTAATTATTCAAAAACAAACTCATCTACAAAAAACAATGACCAGGCAACAAAGCACGATATGTCATCACTTATTTATGCCAAAAAGGCTCACTATCATTGCAGTTACAAAAATACGAGCGATTTTATAATACTTGGAGAAAAGTATCGAGCTACACTATCGACTCTCAGAAATAGAAGAAAATTATATCCCTATCTTATCTATTGTTCAGACCGAGCGCGCGAAAACTCGTGAGAAGTTTTTGTATCGAGAACGAATCGCGGTTTATTAATTCGAGCCTATATCGATGTAAGAT